CAAACTTTCCATGAAGATAGTTCCGAAGAGTAGCCACGCTGGTCGGCAGAAAAAGAGCTCAGTTCAAGTCCAGTGGCAAGAAGGAGGAGGAGGAGGAGGTGAAGATGATGAAGCAGCTGGGGCACCTTCCGTATGAGGAAAGGCTGAAGAGTCTGGGACTTTTCAGTTTAGAAAAGCGATGACCAAAAGGGGGTGATGATCAAGGTTTCTGAAATGATGCATGGGGCGGAGAGAGTTGACAAAGAGGACTTTGCCTCCTTCTCCCCAAAGACTGGAACTCGAGGGCATCCAATGAAGCTGATGGGCAGTAGGTTCAGGAGAGACAAAGGGAAGTACTGCTTTGCACAGAGAGTGATTCAAACGTGGAATCCGCTGCCAGAGGATGTAGTGATGGCCACAGGAATAAACAGCTTTAAAAGTGGATAAGACAGATTCACAGAGGATAAGTCTATCAATGGCTAGTAGCCATGGTGACTGAGGGGAACCTAGAATCACAGTTGGAAGGGGCCATACAGGCCATCTAGTCCAACCCCCTGCCCACTGCAGGACCAGCCTAAAGCATCTCTGACACATATTCGTCCAGCCTCTTCTTGAAAGCTGTCAGTGAAGGGGAGCCAACCACCTCCCTGGGTTCTACCTGTGAACCACCCTGACCATTCAGAGGCACTAGACCTCTGAATCCCAGAACCAGGAGGCAAGATCAGGGGAAGGCCTCGACCTCCCCGCCCTGTTGCTGGCCCTCCAGGGGGACTGGCTGGCCCCTGTGTGAGACGGGAGGCTGGACTAGAGGGACCCTCCCTGGTCTGACCCAGCAGGGCTCTTCTGACGTTCTTATCAGGGGAAGGCCTCGGCCTCTCTGCCCTGTTGTTGGCCCTCCAGAGGAACTGGCTGGCTACTGTGTGGGACGGGATGCTGGAGTAGATGGACCCTCACTGGTCTGACCCAGTAGGACTCCTTATCAGGGGAAGGCCTCGGCCTCTCTGTCCTGTTGTTGGCTCTCCAGAGGAACTGGTTGGCCACTGTATGAGACGGGATGCTGGACTAGATGGACCCTCACTGGTCTGACCCAGCAGGGCTCTTCTGGTGTTCTTATAAAGGCCTCAGCCTCTGTGCCCTGTTGTTGGCCTTCCAGAGGAACTGGCTGGCCACTGTGTGAGGCAGGAGGCTGGACAAGATGGACCCTCAAAGCTCTGACACATCTGACAAAGGAAGCACGAAATCTCGAAAGCTCAGAGTCCCGGAATCTTCTTGGTCTCTCAGGTGCACCTGGACTTGAATCCAGCGCTTCTACCGCAGACCCACATGGCTCCCCTCTGGAAATATCTTTATGGAACGTTTGCAGGCTCCTGCACTAACTTCAGGCAATTAAAACATGCCATTTTACTCAGAAGAATCCACAACCGGAGGAAGAAAACCAGGCCTCCCCACCCACCCACCCCGCAAAAGCTGTGTCGGAGAGGACGAGAGAAGTTAAATCTGGATCGGCACGTCAGTCGTTCTGGCTCGAACTGCACAAGGCAGGAAGGCCTGCCGGGCAAGCAGATGCCGTCTTTGCCACAGTTGCTTCTGGGCACGAAAAATAAGCGCTTGCAGCGTGTCTCTGGCCCGAGGCTGTCTCAGAACAAGAGCAAAACCTGGAAGGCTGAAGCATCCGACACCCAACTCCACCTCCCTCTCCATCCCTCGCCCTTCCCCCGTCCCGCCACTGTGGTCCACCAACCAGCACATGGGAAGGTCGGAGGGAACAGGTGAAAAAGTACAACGTTAAGAGTTCAGTGGCACCGTCAAGACCCACAAAGTTTAATTCTGGGTATAAGCTTCCGTGTGCATGCAAAAAGGTTTAATTCTGGGTATAAGCTTCCGTGTGCATGCAACCAGGTTTAATTCCGGGTATAAGCTTCCGTGTGCATGCAACCAGGTTTAATTCTGGGTATAAGCTTCCGTGTGCATGCAACCAGGTTTAATTCCGGGTATAAGCTCCCGTGTGCATGCAACCAGGTTTAATTCTGGGTATAAGCTTCTGTGTGCATGCAACCAGGTTTAATTCCGGGTATAAGTTCCCGTGTGCATGCAACCAGGTTTAATTCTGGGTATAAGCTTCCGTGTGCATGCAGCCAGGTTTAATTCCGGGTATAAGCTTCTGTGTGCATGCAACCAGGTTTAATTCTGGGTATAAGCTTCCGTGTGCATGCAACCAGGTTTAATTCTGGGTATAAGCTTCCGTGTGCATGCAACCAGGTTTAATTCTGGGTACAAGCTTCCATATGCATGCAACCAAGTTTAATTCCAGGTATAAGCTTCCGTGTGCATGCAACCAAGTTCAATTCTGGGTATAAGCTTCCGTGTGCATGCAACCAAGTTTAATTCCGGGTATAAGCTTCCGTGTGCATGCAACCAGGTTTAATTCCGGGTATAAGCTTCCGTGTGCATGCAACCAAGTTTAATTCCGGGTATAAGCTTCCGTGTGCATGCAACCAAGTTTAATTGTGGGTATAAGCTGCCGATGTGTGCATGCAATAAAGTTCAATTCTGGGTATAAGCTGCCGATGTGTGCATGCACATGTCTGAAGAGGTGTGTGTGCACACGAAAGAATTCTGGGCATAAGCTTCCGATGTGTGCATGCACACTTCTTCAGAAACGTGCATGCACACGAAAGCTTACATCCAGATTAAAACTTTGTTGGTCTCAAAGGTGCCCGCTGGACTCAAACGCTGTCCTACTGCTTCAGACCAATGCGGCCGCCCCACCTGAATCTCTCTTCATGGCGAAAAGGTGATGCTCGCAGTTTGGCCCATGTAGCGGACCAGGGACAAACACCGGGGCCCGGGGATGGGGCATGCTGGCCAGCCCCACTCCACATGGCCTGCAAAGCTGCAACATCTCCGTGTTGTGGCGATCAGTGCCAGTTCCAGGCCATAAGGGGCCCGGAGCTTACAGCACAGAGCCCCCACATGCTCCCTTTCCCACCCCCTTACCTGACTGTGCACCCTTCCCCTGTTTGCAAGCCCTCTCACCCCCTTTGTGGACAAGCCTGAAGGCAGCCCGACCCGAATCAGCTGTGCTCAGTTATTCTGTTCTCCGTGAGCGACAGAGGCAAGCACAGGACTGCAGCCCGTGGGGTTTACTGGACCAACCAGGATCCGGAGCACTTGGACACAAAGCTTGCTGTGTGAACTCGGGACCTTCTTCCTGAGCCCCGCCTCCCTCGCAAGGATGGACGTGAGGACAAAATAGGAGGAAAATGACTTGGACGTCAGTCAAAGCTCTTTGGAAGAAGGGAGGGGTTCCAACCAAGGCTCCCTCTAAGCTGTGGAGTCTTGTGAGCAAAAATTCTACTTTGTGAGCTACCGGCATTAAAGCTGTGAGCAGGCGATTTGGCTACTGCGTCAATTAGTTTGCTCTGGAGCCCCATCCTTCCTGAGCGAAGGCAAAAAATGTGTGAGCCGGGGGCTAAAAAACGGTGAGCTAGCTCACACTCACTCAGCTTAGAGGGAACACTGGTTCCAACAGAGAGCCCTCCAAGACCTCCTTCTGTACCAAGATGGTTTGAAGAGGGGGAGGGAGCGGACAGAATGCCCCTTTCGTGCACCTCCATGAGGCCAGAACTGCTGGGTTTGCGTTCCGCAGCACCAACCAGGTTTTCGGGATAGGAGCTTCCAAAGGGCAAAGCTCCCTTCATCAGATACAAACAGGAATGGAGATCCCTAAGTTCTTATATGTGACTGACCCAGCGTCACCCAGCAAACTACACATGGCAGAGTGGGCATTCGAACCTGGGTCTCCCAGACCCTAGTCCAACTCTTTACCCACCACACCACACGAGCTCAATAAGCTCCCGTCCTCAGACACAAAGGGAGCTCTGACGCTCCAAACTTAATACCTTGAGGCTTTTATTGGCCTCTAAGGCGCCGCTGGATTCAGATCTCGCTGCTCTACTACAGACCAACAAAGCAACCGATGTTTTGCCAGGGCACACTTCAAAAACGACTGGATGCAAAGGTAGGCAAGCCCGACCCATCAACCACTCCTCGCTAGGCGTTGCCAAGGGCATCTTGTCATGCAAGGGAGAGAGAGGCGCCGCCGACTCAAATCCCCTCTTCGGCCCAGCAGGCAGGAAGAAGAGACTGGATTTATACCCCACCCTTCACTACCCGAAGGAGTCTCAGAGCGGCTTACGATCTCCTCTCCCTCCCCCTCCCCACAACGGGCACCCTGTGGGGTAGGTGGGGCTGAGAGAGCTCTCTCTCGAGGACTGCTCCTGAGAGAGCAGCTCTGAGAGAGCTGTTACTGATCCAAGGTCACACCAGCAGCTGCATGTGGAGGAGTGGGGGATCAAACCCGGTCCGCCCAGATTAGTGTCCGCGCTCTTAACCACTACACCAATCTGGCAGGGTCTGCCCTACAAACCCTCTTTGCACCTGGCTCCACCCCTCAGACCCTCCTGAGAGAACAGCTCTGAGACAGCGGTGACTGACCCAAGGTCACCCAGCAGCTGCACGCGGAGGAGTGGGGAATCAAACTCGGTTCTCCCAGGTTAGAGTCCACGCTCCTAACTACTACACCAAACTGGAGTCGTCCATGTGTACCAGCATGTCCATCACCTCATCAAGCAATGACTTGCTGGCAGGAATGGGCCAGTGCAAATGCGATCTCAGCAGGGTTTCTGTACTGCCACAAGGGCAACCGAGTTAGCAACCGCTCATCAAGTGAGCAAGACAGACGTGTGCGTCTGTGACCTCGGGATTCAATCAGGATTCACCTACTTCCGTGCAGCCGAAACCCAAAGCGAAAGCCCCAACTGCAGACTGAGAATCGGGGATACGTAAAGAGTAACAGGGACGGCTTTCTGATTAAACTGAAACGGCTTGTAATGGACGGAGCCCAAGTCGTTTCCCACAGAGGCCAGACTGGAGCGTGCGTTCGCGCGCGCACGCGTGCGTGTGAGGGGCGCGTTAGAGAGCGCAGGAGGCCGCTGCCGCCACCAGCCTGAGATACTCACTTCCGCCAGGGAGGCTGTCTCTGTCGAAAATGCACAGCTTGTAGCCAAACTCGTTTTCCAGGACTCCGCGCAGCGTCAGCAGCACAAACTCTTCCTCCTCAGCGTTCCTCGCGTAGGACACGTAAATGTCAAACTCCTTCCCGTCTGACGGCCCCAGTTGGAGAGAACCACAGAGAAGAACAACAATAATAATATTTTTTTTTAAAAAAAAAAGAGAACACGCTGAAGTTAGGGAAGTACACTGGGTTCCCGCCCCCGCCCCCGTCACTGTCCCTGCTTGCTGGTTGTATTACGGAGCCTTAAGCAGACGACGCATCCCGTGCTATGTGGTCCCCAGTCTGCGGAACGTCAAAAAGCACTCTGTCCTCTTTAAGAGGCACTCCGTGGCCATACAGGGAAGGCCAGCTAAGCCTGTCTGGTTGCTGGGGCAACCCCACGGCCTGAAATTGAAAACTTTCGGCCTCGAAGGAAGCGTTCCACCGATGTGGGAGAGAAATGGAACCAGGGGAGGTGGGAGATGAACGGCCAAGCTTGCCAGCTCTGCACTCTCCAATTACTCCCGAGCCGGAAGGACAGGCGATTAGGTTGGCTTCTGCGTCTTCTGCTCCAGTTTAGGTCAAGAGTATTTATTAGTGACACGCTCAAATGTATTGCATTTTACGGAGGTATCTCTTAAACGGCAGATGTTAATTTGACAGCAGAATTTAATACTGGGCGCTTCTCCAGGTGGCTTTGGGCAGAGGGACCTTCTAAGCGCAGGTCTGCCGAGGTATTCGAGGAGATAAGGAATCGACGTAATGAAATGTACAATCATCCAAAATAGCATATTTTTTTAAAAGGAACACAGCAGCATTTAGCTATTAAAAGCCATTTTAGAAGCTGTATCAGGGAAGAAGAAGAAGAAGAAGGAGGAGGAGGAAGAGGAGGAGGAGGAGGAGGAAGAGGAAGAGGAAGAGGAAGAGGAGGAAAGATTGGATTTATATCCTGCTCTTTACTACCCGGAGGAGCCTCAGAGCGGCTTACAATTCTCCTTTCCCTGCCCCTCCCCACAACAGACACCCTGTGAGGTAAGTGGGGCTGGGAGAGCTCTTTCCAGAACTGCTCGTGAGAGAACAGCTCTGAAAGAACTTGTAACTGACCCAATGTCACACCAGCAGCTACATGTGGAGGAGTGGGGAATCAAACCTGGTTCTCCAGATTAGAGTTCACCGCTCTTAGCCGCTACACCAAACTGGCTGTCCAGGGTCTGCCCTACAAACCCCTCTTTGCACCTGGCTCCATCCCCAGACCCTCTCCGGAGCATGGTTTCTTATTGGATCCAAGAAGAAATTTGGGAGAATTTACTCTAATAGGATTTATAACCTACCCCAGTCCAGGGAGACCCCCAGTAGAAGGGCCATGCTAACATTTTAGGTGCCGGACGGAAGGAACACACCTCCAAATGGCTACGCCCACACAGGCTGAAAACGATAATAGAAGAAGAAGAGGAGGAGGAGGAGGAAGAAGAAGAAGAGGAGGAGGAGACTGGATTCATACCCCGCCCTTCACTACCCAAAGGAGTCTCAGAGCAGCTCACAAACTCCTTTCCCTCCCCCTCCCCACAACAGACACCCTGTGAGGTTGGCGGGGCTGAGAGAGCTCTGACAGAAATGGCTCTTTTTCAAGGACAGCTCTGACAGAACTATGGCTTGCCCAAGGTCATCCAGCAGCTGCAAGTGGAGGCAGAAGAAGTAGAAGAAGAGATTGGATTTCTACCCCGCCTTTCACTACCAAGGGGGTCTCAGAGCGGCTTACAATCTCCTTTCCCTTCCCCTCCCCACAACAGGCAAACTGTGAGGTAGGTGGGCTTGAGAGAGCTCTGAGAGAAACTGCTCTTTTTCAAGAACAGCTCTTATCAGAACTAGGGCTTCCCCAAGGTCATCCAGCCAGGTGCAAGTGGAGGAGTGGGGAATCAAACCCAGTTCTCCCAGATTAGAGTCCGCGCCCTTAACCACCACACCAACCTGGCTTGTCCGAGATGCCGGGATGAGCAGAGGAGGTCCAGGCTGGGATCGGGTGGGTCTGTTCTGCTAACGGTGGTGCATTTCTCCAGCACAAGGGGACCTTGCTTGATTCAAAATATCCAAGAGCTACCGATCCGCTCCTGAGCCCAATTCAAGGCGTTGGTTTTGACTTTTAAAGCCCTGCATGGCTTGGGACTGGATTACCTGAAGGACTGTCTTCCCTGCCTGGGAATTAAGATCAAGGGAGATGATCTCCTGACTGTCCCATCAATCAAAGAGGCACAGGAGACAGAGCCTTTTCAGTGGCAGCCCCGCAATTCTGAAACAACCTCCCCAGGGAGGTTCGCCTGCCCCCCTTACTTTTGATCTTTAAGAGGCAGCTGAAGATGGTTTGATTTAGAACTGCATTTGACTGATATAGGACTGAGGAGAGGTCTATCAACGGCTACTAGCCATGGTGACTAAGGGGAACCACCACATTCAGAGGCAGTCAACCTCTGAACGCCAGAGCCAGAAGGCAACATCAGGGGAAGGCCCTGGGCTCTATGCCCTGTTGTTGGTCCTCCATAATAACCAATTTGGCAAACTGTGAAACAGAATGCTAGACTAGATGGACCACTGGTCTGATCCAGCAGGGCTCTTCTGATGTCCTTATGAAGACCTCAGCCTCTATGGCCTGTTGTTGGCCCTCCAGAGGAACTGGGTGGCCACTGTGTGAGACGAGATGCTGGACTAGATGGACCCTCACTGGTCTGATCCCGCAGGGCTTTTCTGATGTTCTTATCAGGAGAAGGCCTCAGCCTCTCTGCCCTGTTGTTGCCCATCCAGAGGAACTGGTTGGCCGCTGTGTGAGACAAGATGCTGGACTAGATGGACCCTCACTGGTCTGATCCCGCAGGGCTTTTCTGATGTTCTTATCAGGAGAAGGCCTCAGCCTCTCTGCCCTGTTGTTGCCCATCCAGAGGAACTGGTTGGCCGCTGTGTGAGACAAGATGCTGGACTAGATGGACCCTCACTGGTCTGATCCCGCAGGGCTTTTCTGATGTTCTTATCAGGAGAAGGCCTCAGCCTCTCTGCCCTGTTGTTGCCCATCCAGAGGAACTGGTTGGCCTCTATGTGAGACAAGATACTGGATGTACCAGTGACATGATCCAGCAGGGCTCTTCTGATGTTCTTATGGAGGCCTCGGTCTCTCTGTTGTTGGCCCTCCAGAGGAACTGGTTGGCCTCTATGTGAGACAGGAGGCTGGACTAGATGGACCAGTGACATGATCCAGCAGAGCTCTTCTTATGTTCTTATTGGCAGTCCTAATGGGAGTTTTTAACTTGTGGTTTCTTATGTGTTTGTTTATAATAGTTTATCGATATTGTAGGCATCCTTGAGTGCCGCAAGGTAGAAAGGTGGCTATTAAACGTTTAAAATAAATATGTAAAATAGAGCAGCAAGCAATACTCGTGGAGGAGAACATGCAAGCCATTTCCCTTCCGCATGCCCTCCCCGCCACCCCCACCGGCAAAAGAGACCGAAAGTTCAATACATTTTTAAAGCCACGCCCAGGGAGGGCAGCGCTGCAAGGCCAGGGAAGCAGAAGCCCCGATTTCCCCCCCTCACCCCTTACCTAGAATGGTTTCATCCGTCCCAAAGTGAGCCCGGTAGAAGAGCACCATCTCCAGCCAGTAGACGTGGTAGACCACCGTCAGGATGACGACGAGAAAGACGGTCGCTCCCAAGCCACAGGCCAGCTCAACGGTGTATCTCGGAACTGGAACTGGGGACAAAAAATCAAGACAGGGAGGTTCGTAACGGACTGTGGCAGAGTGCTAAACCTGTTTAATGGGGGGAAGGAGGCCTTCTCCGGGTTGAATGCCACCGGAGGGAACGCTGAAGAGAAAACACTGCCCCGGCTCCTTCGTGCTGACGTAGAACCAGGGTGCTAAGCGACAGAATCAGAGCAGCCCTGCTGGATCAGACTACTGGTCCATCTAGACCAGCATCCTGTTTCCCACAATGACAACAGTCCTCCTCTACTGACTGTTCCCCATCATCTGTCAATCAGGAGCCTTCTGCCTCTGAACCCAAAGGCCCCATTAGGCCATCACATCATAAGAGCCCTGCTGGATGAGACCAGTGAGGGTCCATCTAGTCCAGCATCCCGTCTCACGCAGTGGCCAGCCAGTGGCCAGCCAGGACCAACAACAGGGCACAGAGGCCGAGGCCTTCTTAAGAACCTCAGAAGAGCCCTGCTGGATCAGACCAATAGTCCATCCAGTCCAGCATCCCAACTTATCCAGAGGCAAACCAGTTCCTCTCGAGGGCCAACAACAGGGCATAGAAGCCGAGGCCTTCCTAAGAACATCAGAAGAGCCCTGCTGGATCAGACCAGTGAAGGTCTATCTAGTCCAGCCTCCTGTCTCACGCAGAGGCCAACCAGTTCCTCTGGAGGGCCAACAACAGGGCAGAGAGGCCAAGGCCTTCATAAGAACATCAGAAGAGCCCTGCTGGATCAGACCAGTGAAGGTCCATCTAGTCCAGCCTCCTGTCTCACGCAGAGGCCAACCAGTTCCTCTGGAGAGCCAACAACAGGGCAGAGGGGCCAAGGTCTTCATAAGGACATCAGAAGAGCCCTGCTGGATCAGACCACTGAGGGTCCACATAGTCCAGAGTCCTGTTTCAAGTCCAGCAACTGTTCTCCTGTTGTTGCTGACCGTATCTGTGACACACTGCTGGGGATGCCCCCTACCTTGCAACTTGACGATGGCTTGCCTATATGCTTCACCCTTGGGGTTGTGGGCATAGCAGGTGTAGTTCCGCTTCAGGTCCTCCTCTGTGGCTTTCGGCACAATCAGAGTCTTTTCAATATCCAAGTTTTCCACGGCATCGTACGTCTTACTGAAGAAGGCCAAGAAAACAAAAGATATTGGGCAACAGAAAACTTTTAATCTGATCGAGGCTCTGTATTCCCATATTTTCTTTTCTGGGTAGCCACTGACTTGAAAAGACCATTGCCATGGATGATCCTGCCAATGTGCATTTTGCTAAATAGGCCAGAAACCAGCGACCAACTACTTTGCATTCACTGTGGGCCCAATTCACCAAGAAGCCCTCCTGTACGAGCCCCTTGGAAATACACCGTAGCTGCCCCAGGTCAAGATAAAGGCATCATACACATGTAGATTGGTACACGTGATGATCAGACGTTCAGGTTTTCAGAAACATGAAGCCTATTGCAGCTTGTAGGTGGGCGGACATGCAGGGGAAAACCCATTTGCACATTATGCATGTAGGCCGCATATTGCTTCTTAAATGGAAATGCTCCAGCGTTAAGAATTTTGCAACATGGCCTGGTATCATGAGCTTCCTTTTTGAAGCGTGCTTAGAAGAAGAGGAGGAGGAGGAGGAGGAGATTGGATTTATACTCCACCCTTCATTCGGTGTCTCAGAGCGGCTTACAAACTCCTTTCCCTTCCCCTCCCCACAACAGACACACCCTGTGAGGTAGGCGGGGCTGAGAGAGCTCTGACAGAAACTGCTCTTTTTCAAGAACAGCTCTTGCCAGAACTATGGCTTGCCCAAGGTCATCCAGCAGCTGCGAGTGGAGGAGTGGGGAATCAAACCCGGTTCTCCCAGATTAGAGTCCGCGCACTTAACCACCACACCAAACTGACCCTTTTTAAGTGGCTATGATCAGATTAATTTAGCATAATTCAAAATCAATTAATAATAGCATTCCATTTTACATTCTACCACCCAGTAGCATTGTCCCCAAGTGCTGAAGAAGAGTTGGTTTTTATACCCCTCTTCTCTCTCCCTGAAGGAGTCTCAAAGCAGCTTACAATCACCTCTCCTTCCTCTCCCCACAACAGGCACCTTGTGAGGCAGGTGGGGCGGAGGAGCTCTGAGAGAACTTGTGAATGACCCAAGGTCACCCAGCAGGCTTCACGTGGAGTAGGAGTGGGGGGGGTCAAACCTGGTTCTCCAGATAAGAGTCCACCACTCTTAACCACTACACCACGCAGGCTCTCTAACTTGCTAACTCCTTCACATGGGGCTTCAACAATCCCCAGGCCTAGGATCACCCTGACACTTAGGAATTTACATATCATTTTCCGCTTGTATGTGGCTTGGCCCTTTAGAAGCCTGTGACATCTCCTAAAGGTTTAAAAATGAATCTGTCCAGTCCCAAGTCAGACCTCTGTCAGAGCCAGTTTGGTGTAGTGGTTAAGTGTGCGGACTCTAATCTGGGAGAACTGGGTTTGATTCCTCACTCCTCCACATGCAGCTGCTGGTGTGCCCTTGGGTCAGTCACAAGTTCTCTCAGAGCTGTTCTCTCACAGACAGTCCTCGAAAGAGCTCTCCCAGCCCCACCTAACCTCACAGGGTGTCTGTTGTGGGGAGGGGAAGGGAAAGGAGATGGTAAGCCACTCTGAGACTCCTTCGGGTAGTGAAGGGCAGGGTATAAATCCAATCTCTTCTTCTTCTCCTTAACTAGAGATGCCCCAAGGGACTGAACCCAGGACCTTTGGCATAAGAACATCAGAAGAGCCCTGCTGGATCAGACCAGTGAGGGTCCATCTAGTCCAGCCTCCCGTCTCACACAGTGGCCAACCAGTTCCTGTGGAGGGCCAACAACAGGGCAGAGAGGCTGAGGCCTTTGTAAGAACACCAGAAGAGTCCTGCTGGATTAGACCAGTGAGGGTCCATCTAGTCCAGCCTCCTGTCTCACACAATGGCCAACCCGTTTCTCTGCAGGCCTAACAACAAGGCATAGAGGCGTACCCCTGATGCTGCCTCCTGGCACTGGGATTCAGAGTCCGCCTCCCTCTGAATGTGGAGGTTCCCCTTAGTCACCATGGCTAGGAGGCACTGATAGACCTGTCCTCCATGAGTCTATCCAATCCCCTTTTACAGAGGCCTATGCCTGTGGCCATTATTACATCCCCTGGCAGCAAATTCCACATTTCAATGACTCGCTGTGCATCCAAAGCAGATGCTCTACCTCTGGGCCACAAACCCTCCCAGTTTTAACAGCCATTCCCCTCTTCATCCTGCACCTGCTGAGCTCAGTTCTGACTCACAAAAGCTTTATGCCAGAATAAAATTTATTGGTCTTCCGCTGGGTTCCGGTTTTATTTCCCCTCTTCCCGGGAATGGCAGTTCCACGAGGGGCTCGAGCACAAAACTCTCAGCTCCTTCACTAGACAATAAAGGCCAGGATGCTTTGGAGGGAACTCCGCGACAACTGAGCTCACATCGAAAAAGAGCAGGCGGCGCGGCACGGAGATGGCAAAAGTTTCTCGCCTGCAGCTCAGTCTTTGAGCATTAGCTTTGCGTGCAGAAGGCCTTGCGTCCACCCCAGTGGAGAGACTTGCCCACAGCACCTGCAGCACTTTTATCTGGAGATACCAGGGATCGAACTGGGGACACTCCAGGCAAACAAGGAACTCTGCCACTGAGCTACAGCCCCAGCTCTAGAAACAAATGAAGTTTCCTCCTCCCAGATCAGACCATCAACTGCCTGCTCTGATAGAATCATAGAATGGTAGAGTTGGAAGGGACCTTGCAGGTCACCTAATCCAACCCCCTACACTCTGCAGGAGCACAGCCGAAAGAGAGCCCTACAACATATCCAAAAGATGGTCGTCCAGCCTCCGCTTGGAAACGTCCAGCGTAGGAGCATCCACCACCTCCCGAGGCTGTCTGTTCCACTGCTCAACCACTCTGACAGTTAGGAAGTTTCTCCTGATATTTAGCCGGTATCGACTCCCTTGTAATTCCCACCCATTCGTTCTAGTCTTGCAATCCGGAGCAAGAGAGAATAGATCTGCTCCATCTTCGACGTGACAGCTCTTCAGATACTTGAAGATTGCAATCATGTCCCCTCTAAGCCTTCTCTTTCCCAGGCTGAACAGACCCAACTCTTTCAGCCTTTCCTCATAAGACTTGGATTCCAACCCTCTCACCATCCTGGTTGCCCTCTTCTGGACACGCTCGAGCCGGTCAACACCCTTCCTGAAATGTGGTGCCCAAAGCTGGACCCAGGACTCCAGGTGAAGCCTGACCATAGCAGAATAGAGTGGAATGACCACCTCCCGTGATCTGGACACAAGGCTTCTCTTAATGCATCCTAGGATTGCATTCGCTTTCTTCACTGCCACATCGCACTGCAGGTTCATGTTTAGCTTGTGATCAACTGTTTTCAAGCGGAGGCTGGACGACCATCTTTTGGGTATGTTGTAGGTATGTAGGGCTATCTTTCAGCTATGCTCCTGCAGAGTGCAGGGGGTTGGACTAGATGACCTGCAAGGTCCCTTCCAACTCTAACATTCTATGAAGCCTGTTCCACTGAGCAACCGCTCTGTCAGTAAGTCCTTCCTCATGTTTAGCCAAAAACTCTTCTGATTTAATTTCATCTCTTTGGGTGCTTTACTTATTACTACGTACTGTTTCCCAACCATGTTAAATAACGCCGTTTCAATCCACTTCAGCGACCATTTGCAAGTGGATTTCGCCATTTCACACAGCAAAACCCAGTTGCAAAGTGCATTGAAAGTGGATTAAAAGTGTGTTATTTAGTATGTGTGGAAAGCGTTTGATTCTGGTCTGACCTTCTGGGGCCACAGCAAACAACTATGCTCCATTCTCTATAGGACAGCCCTTCATGTATTTTGATTCAGTTCAGGGCAGCTTCCAGAGCAAAGCAGTCCTGAAAACACAACCTTGGCAATTTGGGAGTTGGTCTGTCGTCGCTCCCTCCAGCAATTTAGTCCTTCCTAAGCTCTCTATTCTTTCCAGTCTAAGATTCTGTGAGTCAGAGCTCCCTTCATCAGACCTGTGGACTTAGTTCATAAGGTACTGTCATGATCTGGGCTGTGCCACTGGAGGCCTAGTAGGCCCAGGGAGCCTGGCTAGCAGTAGGGCCTACAAAGGCCTTGGGATGTTTTGGAGCTGATTTTGGCCAATAGGGAAGAAGAGGGCAGGGGAATAAAAGAACTGGTGCCAGAGGAGAAGCTGTTCTTCTTCACAGGGAACAGGGCCAGGAGAAAGGCTGCTGAGGGGAAGAAACCCTCATCCTGAGGGAAGGGTGAGTAGTCTGAGGCCACTTGAGATAGTGAGCTAGGGACAGTATATATTTAGACGCGTTATGGCATTTGATTTCTTTTCTTTTCACCCACTTACTGTTATTATTCCTGCACCTTGTTTGTTTGACCTCCTATAAAATAAACCGTCTTCACTGTTCACTCTGCCTGGTCCTCACGCTCATTTTGGCTAAAAGGGAGGTCTAAAGGCTTGGGAGGGTGCTCTGGACCTTCTCAAGGGATCCTAAATCCAGAGTGGTGGCAGCGTCAGGTGATACCCACTTGAGCCATGACAGGTACCCTCACACACCCGTTTTGGGGGGCTATAGAGGCCGACCAGGCTTCCTATCTGGAATGATCCCCATCTGAAAAATCGCTTACTTCTGGGAGACGTTTATCTTGAGGTCCATGATGTCGTCTGTGTTCCGTCCATCAATCAACCAGGAGACTTCAGGTGGATGACCTTTCAGGTACGTGAAGTGGACCCGACAAACGAGAACGAGATCCGATCCTGGCAGGTAGAACAGCAGCAGCTCAATATATAAAACTGGCTGACAAACGAAGACAATCAAGCAGCAACAGGCCATTTGCATGAATACACAAAGCTGCCTTACACTGAATCAGACCCTCGGTCCACCAAGGTCAGTCTTGTCTACTCAAACTGACAGTGGCTCTCCAGGGTCTCAGGTACAGGTCTTCCGCATCACCTTCTACTTGGTCCTTTTAGCTGGAGGTGCCGCCGGGGATTGAACCTGGGACCTTCTGCATGCCAAGCAGTTGTTCTTCTACTGAGCCACGGCCCCTCCCCCTTCCTACAAAAGGGACTCTTTCTCAGGAGCAAAGTGACTTCCGTAGTCATCTATCACTTGGCCGCCATGTGCAGCGGTTATAGCAGGGGCGTCGGACTCATGTTATGAGGGCCAGATCTGACATAAATGAGACCTCGTTGGGCCGGGCCATGTGTGTCATAAACTGTAATGCCAGGGAGCAGAGATATAAACTTTATAAAGGACACACAGAGTGTTTTTTTTTTACTTAAAATAAGAACATGCTTAAAACATGAGCACTCTGGCAATATTTTGTTTATTTAACAGTGTCTGATAACTGACACCTCTTGCTCTGAATTATTGCATCCAAATGTCTGCGCTGTTGCAATCCTGAGTATGTTGTTCAGGTGTGTATCTGTAAGCTGCAAACCTATGATGACGCAGCAGCAGCAGCAGAACTGGAAGAAGAAGCAGGAGACAGCCAGTTCCACTGCGGGCCTGAGAGAAGCCCTCCGGGAGCCTGATCTGGCCCCCGGGCCACATGTTTGATACCCCTGGGTTATAGTGTCAGCCTTGGAACTGAGAAAAGCCAGGTTCAAATTTCCCACTCAGCCATGAAGCGCACCGTAGGCTCTTGGGCCAGTAACTCTACCTCAACCCAGCCAACCTCACAGGGTTGTTGTGACAATTACTTGGGGAGCTGGAGAGCCATGTACACAAAAAAAATCCCACCTTTTCTCACAGGAGCCCAGGGTGGAGTGGAGAGCCGGTGCGGTGTGGTGGTTAAGAGTGCTGGGCTAGGAAATGGGAGGCCCGGGTTCGATTCCCTGCTTGTGCCCTGGAAGCTTGCTGGGTGACCTTGGGCCATTCGCCCTCTCTCGACTTCCCCTCCCTCACAAGGTTGTTGTGAAGATGAAATGAAGGAGAGCAAAACCGTGCAAGCTGCTCTGGGTTCCCGTTGGGGAGAAAGGAGGGGTATGAATCAATAAGGATAAAGTATACAGTTCTATTCTCTCTCGTTTTATTCACCGTGAGGTAGATTACACTGTGAGCTCTCTCCATATAAGCTCCATGGCTCAGTGGGGATTTGAAAACTGCAGGAATTTGCAACACCGCAGTGGCTCGTGATTTTAGGGAGAGGAAGCTCTGCTAACCTCCGAGCAGACTGCCCAGGGGCACGAGGGCACAGAAATCTGCAAAATGCCATTTGGCGGGGCCGTATGGCAGGCCCTGCAACCTGTGACCTTCCATGCTCAACGCAGATGGGATGTCTACCTGAGACGACATGAACAGGGGGGACGTGAAGCCCCCCACCTTCCCAAGGACAGGGGTCACAGCTGGCAGGCTGCATTCCACACATGGCACCAAGATGCGTGGGGCTCCAGTCAGGAGCTCCGGGTCTGCAGAAATCCCAAGGAAATGGCAAGGAGATTTTAATAAGCAGTGTAAAGTAAAGGTAAAGGTTCCCTTGCTCGAAAGCCAGTCGAGTCTGACTCTAGGGTTGCGGTGCTCATCTCCGTTTCAAAGCCGAAGAGCCAGCGCTGTCCGAAGACGTTTCCGTGGTCATGTGGCCGGCATGACTAAACACCAAGGTGCACGGAACGCTGTTACCTTCCCACCGAAGTGGTACCTATTTATCTACTTGCAATTTCTTGCTTTCGAACTGCTAGGTTGGCAGGAGCTGCAACTAGAGACGGGAGCTCACTCCGTCATGCGGCACACCCAGATCTCAAACTGCTGAACTACTGACCTTCCGCAGCCTGCAGTTCAGCGTCTTAACCACTTGAGCCACCGCAGCTCCTAATAAGCAGTGACTAAGCTTAAATAGCAGGCTCAGCTCCCATCCGCTGGGTCTTGAACACACACACACAAACAGCAAAACTTAGCTAGACCTCGAGATGAGATGCATAGCTGAAATGAAGCATACGCTACGTGCTGGCTACAAGTAAAAAAACAGCACCATCAAAGCTACATCCAAGACACTGACAGCAGGGCTCATTTCCTGCAAAAGCGCACAGGAGCAGAGCTCCGGCAGTAAAGAGCCCAGGGGGCGGGCACATGCAAAAAGAAGAAGAAGAAGAAGAAGAGATTGGATTTATACCCCGCCCTTCACTACCCAAAGGTGTCTCAGAGCGGCTTACAAACTCCTTTCCAGGGGTCATTTCGTAGAAAAAGAGCTAGGGGGACTCATTAGCATAACTCATTAGCATATGCCACACACCCTGACATCACCGGAAGTGTGTCCTCCCCACAGCCGGCGGCGACCTCCAGCGGGCACCAGCAGGGAGCTCCAGGCCCCGCCCTCCCGCACCTCACCCGGGGGGATGGCGTCCCCCCCCAAATGACCCCTGCTCCTTTCCCTTCCCCTCCCCACAACAGACACCGTGTGAGGTGGGTGGGGCTGAGAGAGCTCTTGACAGAAACTGCTCTTTTTCAAGGACAGCTGTGCCAGAGCTTGTGACTGACCCAAGGTCACATCAGCAGGTGCAAGTGGAGGAGTGGGGAATCAAACCCGGTTCTCCCAGATTAGAGTCTGCGTCCGCGCACTTAACCACTACACCAAACTGGCTCCCCGCCCCCTGCTCCCAGCAGCCCTCAGTCAG